GGTTATACCGGCTATACAGATACAGAAGCTGGTGTGTTACGCTGAAGGTCGGTTATACCGGCTATACAGATACAGATACAGATTGTCATGTTATGGATGTCATGTAATGGTGAGCGACAAGAATCTATATTTTTGAACCGTGTAAGATAAAATTGTTGTAATTCATCCATGTCAGCCTTAATTGCTTGTCGGCAATGCAGGAAAGACAGACCAGGCGTATACGGGCGCGAGGCCCCAGCTAGCTAGAGCCGTTATCTAAGCCCCAACTGTAGTGATAATGCCGCAACAGGTGCCTCTACAAACTCGAAACGTGGGTGTGCTCGAATGAAGGGCGAGAATGTTGCTTTTCTGTGGGTTTTGCGGCAGATTTAGCGCTTTGTCAAGTTAAAATCTTTGAACAATATATGGAGAGACTCTTGCGCTTGCACTTTGTAAGAATTGTTTCTAGTTTTCTTCGTTTTGGAGGCTTTACCATGATGGTAATTTCCTCTATTTCCCCTTCTTACTTTGCTTCAAGAAATTGGCCTCTTAAGTAGGTCGTTTTTATCAACATGAAAATGTTACGGTATTGTGTGAAGCCCGCGCGGAGGCGACGTTAAAGGCATCCAATGCGATTTCATGGCACCAAAACTGGAAATATTTTGAATAAGGCAATCTTTGTGATATTGACACATACTGCTTCACATTAGTACATTTGAATCATCATTTCATACATATTTAAAGCTGCAGAAACAAGCTCCAAGATGAGTCCTTTGTTTTCTGGGTGGTACCCTAAAAATCAGCCCAGGACTCTTCCAGTAATCTTTTTCCGTCAGAGTTATGGGAATGTTTGGTCCATGAAGGTCATAGTGTTGGGATATTGGTAGCCTTCGAGCGCGAATCCCTCTCTCCGCGGCAAAAACTCCCTCGGCAGCAAATCGTCCCTCGCGGCGGCATATTACTCGCGTCGCTCACAGAAAAAATAACGCCGACGCCCAACAAGACTGCGAAGGAGGCTAGGATATTGGGATGTTGGGATAGCAGATATCATAATGGTCAACGCCGTCATCAGATGGTTTTGAGTGGACTCCAAGTAGAAATATTTGTATCTGTATCTGTATTCGGCGTAACACACCAGCTTCGCAGGCACGCGGCGCGGCGGCAGCTAGCTATATCACACCGAACGACTTGTTACACTTAATCGTTGCACATTTGATTGCAGGAGTTGTTTAAAGCTTTCTAGTGATGATGCCCCAACTGTGCTTGTTTAAAAACAATTATGTCGAATTCTGGTATATCTAAAGGAGCAAGGCATGTTTAATCTATAGAAAAATCTGGATTAAATCCAGACATATGGATACCCGCATTCAATACGTCACGGGCCACCATTATGATTAGCCTCACCAAATAAATCACTAAATAAAATAAATTTCTTCGTTTTTCAATATACTACGCCGTGTACAACTTTGTTGAACAGCGCAGGGTTTTTCTTTGTATCATCATCTAATGATAGTCAGTTTTATTTTTATATATGTTAACTGTACCTGTTCATCATGTTTTGTTTAGACCTGTACGAGGCCAGTGTGACAAAAATGTGCAATAAAAGTCGTCATTCATTTGTTCAAATATTATTATTTTTCGCTGCACGAAATACGCACCATCCGACCTTAACGCGATCATTTGATCCACCATGGTTTTCCTCGGGGCTGCAGGAGCTCTGTCCCGCCCGCCTCAGATAGGTTTCCCGGTGTGTATTTCACGAGAGGTTGATTGGCCCTACCACGAACGCTGGGGCAAACCAAATCCCCAAGATGCCATCTCTATTAGCGTAACACTCCTACCGGGTCGGCCTGTTGCGCTGGGCGGGGGAAGCTATTAGGGGAAAACTACTAGAGCCCCGAAGACTTGCCTGAACACCCCAACAGGCCCCAATCACGTAAGGCTGGATACCAGGCTATTCTTCCTCACGTACTGCACGGCTCTCAACATATCCTGTCAACGTACAGACATCCTGTCTCTTTTACTGTGTCTCCTGTGGATTGTAATTACTGCTGCTTTTCACGTCCTCGAAGTGGCAGTGACACTCAATTCAAACGGCAATTGCCGTTTTAGAATAGATTTATCTGGTGATGATGTACTCCTCCACTTGGCGAATTCCGCTCTACCATACATTTATTTATTTATTCATTTATTACGATTGACCACATACATAATATACATGGGGGCATGGTGGAACAGGTGCACCTAAGTGCACCTTTTAAAGGCCACCATGCCCACGCTCTACCATACACGAAAAAACAATCGATTTTTAAACACTTCAATCCTTTTATCCCTAACCTGTGGCATGACTGTTTCTTGTTCTATTCTGAGCTGGCTTTAGATACTTAGTAGTTGGTACGTCCATTAGTTTAAGAGTCATTTTGTACATCGTCGACTGGGTATTTTTCTTCTGTCTTTCAGTGACACCCACAGTTTGTTTTTATGTCTTACCGGTATTTCAGCAAGGGGTAGGTGTCACAAGTCGCTCGGTGTAATGTAGCCAGCTGCCGCGCCGCGTGCCTTCGATGCTGGTGTGTTACGCACGCCGAAGGGCGGTTATACAGATACAGATTTCTCGCACGCATTTCTTTCAAGATTCTGGTTAACACCCACGCTCTTCCCCGATAAACAACAAACCACCCGCACCCAACCATCAGTCAGTACTTAACGCAAAGATTTAAAGCAATTATCGACAAGGACGTTGCTGCTTGAAACGCGCAATGCCACAGCATGTCGCGAAAGAAGAAGAAGAAGAAGAAGGTCTCCCGTGCTCTTGTCCGAGCGTAGGGTGGTGCCCATCTCCATTTCGTTGCCCGAGCGTAGGGTGGTGCCCATCTCCATTTCGTTGCCCGAGCGTAGGGTGGTGCCCATCATTTCGTTGCCCAAGCGTAGGGTGGTGCCCATCTCCATTTCGTAGCCCTTGGGCGACACACAATTGTGCAATGCACTACAGCAGGGGGCTAGTCCGCTGGTAGTGCTGTGTGTTTGACCTTCCCACACTCTTTCTCATATGTGCTGAGTGCTAAGCAGAGAAAGAAGTGTGTACCATTTTTTAAAAGTCTTTGGTATGACCCGGCCGGGGTTTGAACTCACGACCTGCCGGTTACAAAGCGAGCACTCTGCCAATTGAGCTATTGCACCGGTACGAAACAGCATGTCGCGAAACAGCATACATTAAAGGAGGACTCAACAGCAGAGACCAGTGTTGTTTTCTAAAAGATCACATTTTTCGTGAATACAAAATCAACAAAATCTGTAAAATCTAGTTACTGAATAACAAGGAACTTTTATGGTCCATTAGCTGAGTAGTGTTAAACTGGCAAACAAGTATCCAGAAGCACATTGCAAATTTAATTGCTGTACCCTTAATCCAAAGGGTCAAATGCCATATGTTTTTTTACTATTATTGTATTGTTGTTCTTCCATAAATGATAGCCTAATGTCGTTGTCAGTGAAAACAGTCCATAGAGTCAAACAAAAATCTAAAGGATGCTCGTTTCTAAATTTCAGGTCATCAGTCAGACCTCCGAAGGTTTCCCCAGCATGGCAGCCCAAGCCGTCGCTAATCTGACCTCCGTCGCGGCCGGCGCTTTCACAAAAGTCGCCAACGTCACAGGACAAGTCGCCAACGTCACAGGACAAGTCGCCGGCGGCCTCCTGAACCACTTCGTGACTCGCCACGCGAACGCCGCGTACGGCCTCGCCAAGAACGCCACGGACATCGCGGCAGAGGGCGCCGGCAGCCTGGCCAAAGCCGCAGGTAGGTTTGTGTACAGGGCCGTGAAACTCTGGAATTCTCTACCTACAGATGTTAAGTCCATCTCCCATGTCAAATACTTTACCAACAGGGTGGTGCAATTCATAAAAGTCAGACAGTTATCTTCAAGGTAGAATTCATATGTTTTTTAAAGATTGCCATGTAAACAGTTAAGGTTTTTATGCGACGTGTAACTCCTCTGTTTTTAAATGATTCATGCTGTAAGTTAAGTGTAAATATGTAGAATTGTGTCTGTAATTGTGATGTTACACGTATTTGTATTGGGACCCTGGAAGAATAGCCCATAATGGGCTAAAGGGTATCTCAATAAACTGAAACTGAACTGAAACTGCAGGCGACGCCGGCCTCTGCGAGTTCGTCTTCACCAACGTGACCACGGGAAACACGACCGTGGAGGTGGCTAGCTACGACCCGGCAGCCTGCGGTCTCTACAGCCTCTTCCCGCCCATAAAGTACCTGCTGGTCCTCTATATCCTGGTCGGGATGATCTGGTCGCTCTTCGGCAACGGCAGCCTGATAGGCGTCATCACGACGGACGAAGACATGCTGGTAGGTGGTTCTTAACTATCGTTTCTACCTTACCTTAGGCCCGGTTTACACAGAGCAAAATGTATTTGACCTAGGAAATTGGACGCGCGGCGCCGCACGACACATTGTTTATGCGTGTAAACAGGTCCGCCACCGACGCACGTCGCCGCGTCGCCATTGTGACGAAAGTTGGTATGTGGGTAGGCATTGGAGAGGCAAATATCTTGGCCCTTCTAGCAGCTCCGTTGTGTATTGCAGACGTACCTTTTTCTTACCACCAACGAACCTCTTTTCCAGGAACCTGGCAACATTTTCCTGTGCGCCCTGTCCGTTTGCCACATTGCACAGAACCTGATGTACAGCCCCAGCACCAAACACTGCCTATCATATAATTAATAACGAGTTTAACAATTAAAAATTAACAACGAGCTTTTCTTTCAGCTCGAGAGGCATGCCCCCAGAAGGTCATCTGCTGCTTGACGATCCTGCGGGTTACTGGTGGCTGGTTTGTCCGAAGACGGACTGTTTTGTTGAAAATGAAGTCGTGCCAGCAGATACCCTCTATCTTTCTCAGACACTGTGAATCAAAAGCATTGATTCTCTTCCAGGAACCTGGGAACATCTTCCTGTGCGCCCTGTCCGTGTGTGACATCGCGCAGAACCTGATGTACAGCCCCAGCACCATGCACAGCCTGCTGACGGGAGAACCCTCCGGCTGGCTCTGGATCCGGATCCAGGCCTTCCTGGCCTCCTACCTGTCCTGCCTCACCATCTACCTACAGGCGAGTTTATTGGTCAAACATTACCCGTGGTAGGGGTGGGGTCGTGTGGCGTAACGGCAGAGTGCTAACTCGACTCGGAACCAAGAGGTCCTGGGTTCGAGTCCTGACATGCCACCGATCTTGTGCACTTTGCAAATGTGACTTTTCTACTTTGTTTGTTTGTTTACAATAACGTCGCTAAAGTAAATTTTAAACGTTTAACATCAGCCCATACCCTTATCTACCCACAGGCGGGCCTGCTGTTCTGCCGCTGGGTCCACATCGCCTTCCCGTACCACTACGCGCAGCACCTGACGCGCGGGCGGCTGATTCTGGGCATCGCGGCGTGCAACATGATCGCGCTGGTGCCGCCGCTGGTCGGGCTGGCGCGCGCCGGCCGCGTGTCGACCTGGGCGCTGGACGTGGCGTCCGTGGACCTGGCCCGGCCCGTGAGCCTGCTGCTGCCCGGCACACCAGGAGGCATCGAGAGTACCGTCACCATGTGCCTGAGCGGCTTCGGCGTCTTCCTCACTTGCTGCATCGCCGGTCTCATCTTCAAGGTCAGCAACGTTTTCTTTCTTTCTCTTTCTTTCTCTCCCTCTCTCTCTCTGTCTCTGCTGCCCGGCACACCAGGAGGCACCGAGAGTACCGTCACCATGTGCCTGTACGGCTTCGGCGTTGTCATGACCTGCTGCATCGCCGGTCTCATCTTCAAGGTCAGCAACGCTCTTCTTTCTTTTTTTAGTTTCTTCTTTTCTCCTGCTTAGCCCGTAATAACAAGGGATTGCTAGTAGTATCTTTCTTTCTATCTTTTGGTCTTGTTCTCTTTGGTCCTTTTTTCTTCTTTCTTTCTTTCTTCTGGCCTCTCAGTCACTGACGAAAGCTAGTGGATACTAGCTGAAACGTCTGACGTTTTCAAAATCATATCCAGTTGCTTGAGTAACTGCTTTTTGGCGCATCGTATTACCTGGATGTCTAACCTTCATCGACGTATGATTGTACTTGTCTACTTCTTGAAGGTTGCCTGTGACAGCCAGTCCAAGCACGACCAGAAGGTGGCCTGGGCCGCCCAAGCTGACCAGCTGCCTCGGAAGCTCAAGGCGGTAAAGACCTTCGGGATCGTCGTCGGCGTGCAGTGGGTCTCCTGGATGCCGCTCATCATCACGGTTTGTTTGTTTGTTTGTTTGTTTGTTTATTTAAATTGCAACACTCCACAATACACATTGAGCACTAGGCAGCAAATTCAGCTAATGCCGTGTTCGGCATGCACATTACAAACACACAAGGTCAATGACCTGGACCAGACGTCTGTCACCATGGTAACTAGTCCTGTAGCAGACACCATTTGTTGTTGGGTTACATCATGTAGTATGCTGAGCTAAGCTGGGAGTGCTGGTCACCCTATAATGTTACATGTACTAGTATATGAATGCTGTGTTTGAGTAAGAATATTCAAAAACAGTGCAGTAGTTTTTTTTAGGCTAGACCCGTTTTTAATTGGGATATAACTAAATTAAAAAGAAGGATAACTAGAGAGGAGAAAGTAGAGAAGAGTTTTTGTTTTTTTGTTCTTTACCTTTTCAAGTGTGCAGGGCCATTAGACAGGGAAAAGGAGACCATGTGAAGGTTTACAAACATTATATAAATGTTACCCTTCTAGTATTGACGTCGGTTTTTGTGTCCGATGGCAGGGGGCGACGCTGAAGCTTGTGGGCATCCCTGAGCACACGGCGGCCATCTTGGGTGACGTCACCTACAGCATCATGCAGACCTCGACCTTTACCGATTCCATTGTGTACGCTTATCGTAACGATATATATCGCAAGGCCATGAAGAAGGCCTACCGCAAGCTGCGAAGCGTCGTCAACGACTTCGAGTTCGAGTTCGAGTTCGAGATGAGAACAATGTAATTCAGACATCTACGGCCCTCCGGCGGCCCGCATGCCCTTTTTCGTAAGGCGTAATCAGGCCTATTTAGTCGTCTTAATCCGTAGGCAGCCTCCCCCAAAAATTCGTAATAGTACATTAGCTGCAAAGCGTTAAGTCGTAATCAGCTCTGAGACTTTAACGTAATTCGTAATCGGCTGCAAACATTTTGCGTAATTCACAATCACTCCCCCCCCCCACCCTCCACACACACACACGCGCAGGCCCTCATCTACCTTAAGGCCATGAAGAAGGCATACCACAAGATCCGGAACGTTATCAACAAGTTCAAATTCAAATTCTAAGGGGCCCTGCATGGGCAACCCGTCGGGGGGGGGGGTTGTTGTCCCAACAACGCTCTACGCTAAATTTTGAGAATTCTCCATTACGCTTAGTTTCATAGAGACAGCTACCGTAAGGCCATTAAGAACTCGTACCGCAAGATCCATATAGAATACAACACGGTGTATTCCGTATCGCCCGAGGTACCAGCCCGACCGCGCGTCGGATCGCCCGACGGCCGAAGGCCGGAGGGAGATCCGATCCGCGGGAGGGCTGGGACCGAGGGTGATGCGGAATACACCGTGTTGTATTTTATTTATGTCATACCCACCCAAGAATACGCGCTTTTCAATGCGAAATGAGCAAAAATTTGGTGTCCCTGTGAACCCCAAAATGCGACAACATCAATTCCAACATCCGGATTCTGTATTCGAATTTCGAAATCGGTGCACGCGGTTAGGCCGAAACGCGTTCGAATCGTTCTATGGAACATTTGGAAGGGCCGGGCCGTACGCGTAAAGAACCCCCGGGCAGTACCGCTAGTTATCACACGGGCCGGAACACCCGTATCGAACGTAATCGTGGCCCAGGTAGGACATAAATAACGTTATCAACGAGTTCAAATTTGAATTCCAAGGGGGTCTGCATGGGGGGGGGTCTAAAATCCAAGTGGCTACAACCAATTACGCTCTACGTTGAATTAGAGCGGTTCGTCTACGCTCTACGTGTATATATATATTTTTTTTAACGGTGTCGCTCAATGCAAGGCCATTTTTGGCCACTTCTAGGCATAGAGCTAGAGGTATAGAACTGTAACAGCAACTCTTCTCCCTGAGTCAGAAACATCATGATTGAGACCAGACCAATTTCTCACAATTAGTGAGGACTAACTGACCCAATATATAATTAAATAGTATATAATTAAAACGGCCGATTATGCTCTACGAAAAAAGGGCATGCGGGTCCCCATTTGACCACACTAACCCCAGGGCCAGTCATCAACGAGTTCTAAATCTACTTCGGGCCTTTTTTTTTCGGTCGTCCTGGGGGGGGGGAGACTGAGACCGCAAAGCCATAATGGCGTACCACAATGAGATTCTTTATTGACACAACAAAAAAGTACTGGCAATTTTCTATGGTCTTCTACAACTGAAGATACCAGATACGAAACGTCATCAACGATTTCTAAGTCTATTCAGACTTCGGGATTTTCTTGGTCATCCTGGCGCCTAAAACTCCACCAGACTTTCAGACTTTGATGTTATCATGGTGTCAGTTAAGTAATTTTTGGCCAAAACGTTTTAAATAGAGTGAAACTTCACAAAACAGAACTATAACAAAGAGTTTGTGTGATAGGATAGACATATTTTATATACCAGCGCTGTGGTGTAGTCGGCACCATCAAACGACAACAGAAGAAGAAGGAAGAAGGTCTCCCGTGCTCTTATGCCGAGCGTAGGGTGGTGCCCATCTCCATTTCCGTAGCCCTTGGGCGACACATAGTTGTGCAGTGCACTACAGCAGGGGGCTAGTCCGCTGGTAGTGCTGTGTGTTTGACCTTCCCACACTCGTTCTCATATGTGCTGAGTGCTAAGCAGAGAAAGAAGTGTGTACCATTTTTAAAGTCTTTGATATGACCCGGCCGGGGTTTGAACTCACGACCTCCCGGTTACAAAGCGAGCACTCTACCAATTGAGCTATTGCACCGGTGTAAAATCTGTTATTAAGAAGCCCCAGGCAAGCTGTGCACGGTTTCAGTGCCTTTGGACGTTTGTTTTTCAACGAGACAGATATGCCCATAAATAAATAATAAATAAATAAATAAATTCGAGATAACCAAATATAAAATATAGAATGCCCAAAAAATTATTTGGGTGTAAAATACTACTAGTATGAGATACTATTTTTGCAATAATATTAGAAATATATTTGATATGTATGAATGTCAAAAAGATATCTAATATCTGAAATTATTTGAAAAATATTTAATATATATAGAAATATTTTCAAAATAGATCTATATGGCCCATGCGAACAACCGTGCCTTTCTATAGGACTAGAACAAACAAATTTTAAATTTAGAGAGTCTAAATATGTTTTGATATTAAGAAAAATCTCTGGTACGAGAAGGTTGAGAAGAGTTTATTTTTAACCAAATTACCAGACTAACTCCATTCTGACCACTCTGCATACTAACAACTGACGTCTCACGTTAAAAAAAAGTATTTTCAACCAAACATTGTTGGACAGAAAAACAACCGACCAAGTGTCTTGCTTGTATGGTAGCTATTTAGAATAGTTTCTTGGCCAAGTCAAGTAAGCCTATGTGCACAGCACGGAAATGATCACAGCTTACACAAGCTTCATTTATTAGGTGTAGTACAACCGTTGTCTACATTTAGGTGTAGTACAACCGTTGTCTTTGAGTGATACAAAGTTATGTAGAAGTCTATGAGTCTAAGAAAATCAAGGAGGTTATTCATAACCTCCATGTGAAAATGTAATAATCATTTATTGCCTTCACCAGAAGGTTTTGTTTTTGTAAGCGTTTATATCTCAAGAAGTCATAGATTGATTGGTATGAAACTTGACAGATGTGTAGGTGTTGAGGAGGCCTAAAAGTGATTAGGTTTTCGGCTGCCTAGCGGCTTGTTATTGTACTGCAGCTGAACTTGATATTGATATCTAGTGATCTGGAGATGCTGAGATAAAACTGTTATTAGGTGGAGTATATGAGCAACTGATATGATTCGTCAAACATTTGCAATTTGACAATCGTACAGGTTACCATGATTTGGCGATGGTATGAGGTCGTCTAACTTGTGAAACAAGAAATTGTGCAATGTGTCAAAGAGAGCGTTCTAGACAATGCCTTGTATTGATGACGAGTTTACGTTGTATTCTTTATTCTTCTAAAGAATAATGCTTTGATGTATATGTTTTTAAATCAGCTGTAACTTATCTACTTATCTATAGATAACGATGTTTACGTAATACGTGGTATTTGTTATTCCTCTAAAGAATAATAATTTGATGTATCTGTACCTACTTCAATCTGTGTTGAAATCTTTTGGCTTGTCGTACGTACTAGTTTCTGTGTTAACTGATAAATTGACTTGGTGTAAAACACAAGGATCAGTATTGTTGAGAGTAGTAGTAGCTTTACTTGACAAGTATACAACAATAATCTTGGATATCATAAAAAACAACAGTTAACTTTGTTCACTTCGTATTTTTCCGTATGCTAAGCTGTAGCGGATATGATCATACCTTTATCAGATGATGTTATTGTTGTTGTTAATGTTATTTTAAGAGTTTTAATCAATGTATTAATGTTTTAATCAATGTCATGTTATTTATAGTGCAGCTCCTCAATGTGGAAAATTCTACTGCGACTGACAATCCGAGTGAAACAAACTGGTGGAACTACCTCCAGATGTACAACGTTGCTGCTGTTATATGTTTGTTTAATAAAGATGACGTGAAGGAAGTTTGTGAGTGCGTTGTGTCGTCTTTTCCCACCACATGGAGTCTTGTCTTGTCGTCGCGTAGTGGTGTCACATAGAAAACAGGGTTTTCTTTCCGGTCTGAACTCCTGTACTTTGCCTCAAAACTGGTAGGTGGCGCTGTCACATCAACTATCACCATCATGTTCTGACACCTGTCAGGGCCTAATGCGTTGACGTGCGACGCCCAAACTTTCACAGATGATGGAGAAGATAGTATTCTTTCAATTAGTAGATTGTTTTATAAATACATTATACTTAAGGTCTCATCCATGTATTACTCCGAGTGTACCCTCGGATAGGACGTTAAATGGAGGTCCCGTGTTTGGTGAGAGCCACACCCCACGCACGTTAAAGAACCCACCACACCTTTCGAAAAAGAGTAGGGGCATGCCCCGGTGTGCGATGGTACAGATTCTACAAATTCCGGAGTCTTGCAAAGGATTGGCATGCCAGAATGATCAATGTGATGATCGTAAAGGAAAGACAAGACAAAAGAGTACCAAGTCAAAACTTAAACGACTGTATGAACGTAGTGAGAATTTTTTTTCGATACATTAGGAACCATGCATTAATGAGTGCCTTACGAGACCGTGTTCCCTATGATTCTACATTAAATCAGTTGATATCTTCCATGCTATGTTGAGCAAACTTACTTTACATCTTATAAATAAATTGCCAACGAATTCTATACACACAATCCCTTTTTTATGGGAATTACAAACTGCACTTAGCGGCTTCCCGCAAGTGGCCCTCCCGCGCGGCAAACCTACGACCGCACAACTCACAACACTGGACTGTGCGCGCGGCTGCCGACAATGACGTCCTAATTTCATCACTTACAAACAAGCTTTCACTGCATTGACGTATTAATACATCAGTTGGGATGGCTAAAGGGAAAATTCTCACCAATAAAAATACACGTTCATACAGCCGTTTAGGTTTTAACTTGGTACTCTTTAAGGGGGTACACTCGTAGTCATCATCGACTACGATGGACGAACATCACACTCGTAGTAATACCTGAATGAGACCTCAAGTATAATGTATTAATAAAATAATCAATTAAATGAAAGAAAACTATCTTTTCCATCATCTGTGAAAGTTTGGGCGTCGCACATCAGCGCATTGTCCCCTGACAGGTGTCAGAACATGATGGTGATAGTTGATGTGACAGCGCCACCTACCAGTTTTGG